CCATCCATCCATCCATCCATCCATCCATCCATCCATCCATCCATCCAAACCACTGAACATTGTTTTAATGAAACTTGCAGGAAATAATTATTTGCACTTTTTCATCTGTAGCTTTGGTACAATTCTCACATCACTATTAACATTTGCTCAGCAGTTAGTGCATTTCTCAAAACCATTTGCACAAACTGCAAAACCTAGTTGATTACTTGTAAAGTGTGACACTTACTCAAAATGGATGATTTATTCCTCAAAGGGAAGTATTCGTGTCATTGAAAGTGTTGGTGACATCAAAATGAAAGCCATTTTTTATGAACAAGATCTGACTTTTTTGAGTATGAATTGAAAAAAATAAATGGAAGAAAATTATTTCACAATTATTTTAGAACATAAGTTCATAAGTTAGTTCTGCTGCTAGAAGATTGTGAAAAGTAAATTCACCATGTGTATTGACATATTGTAAGTTACAATTATAACACGTCTGTTAGGTTATTATTGTTGTGGTTAACTATCTTGAAGAAATTATTTTTGTCTCATATGTTCAACAGAAAATAATTTAATGAGAGTGTAAAGCCAGCAGAATAAGGTCTGTTTGTATTAAATAGGGTTTAAAGTTACATGCTTTTATTTTGGTAACTTCCTTGTGAGCGGAAGTATGCTAACGGAAGTTAGCTTGACGGGAAAAGAAAAACCGACAGGTGAAACCAAGTTTAACTTCTGTCGATAGAACAAGGTTTGTAACTGTTTAAAGTAAACTGAGTAACTTGAAATGTGTTAAAGGAAATAAATTACTAATGTAATGAGCTCTGCAGAACAAGTGATGATAAAATAACCAATTATTGGAAATTGTTTTTGCTCTTTGATGACACCGACGGTTTCAAAAAAACATTAACGTCATTTCTGTCTTCTGAGATTCACTGGATGCCACATAAACTTTATTCTGCTACAAAAAGTCATCATTCATTCAACCTTATTTATCTATACATTTTATTAATCATTAACATTATGACAAAATATTAGATTTTTTTTAACGCAGCTACTGAATTTTGTTATTTACATTTATTTTGTGGCATTTTTCTTTATTTTATTCTATTTATTTATTTTTATTATATGACAACAAAATGTGAATGTTCACTATGCCTGTCTATATGTTTTTGAGCAAAATATCCATCCATTCTCCCATCCATCCATTCATCCATCCATTCTCCCATCCATCCATTCATCCATCCATCATCCATTCATTTATCCATCCATACTTACATCCATCCATTCATTTATCCATCCATACTTACATCCATCCATCCATCCATTCTTCTATCCATCCATCCATCCATCCATTCATCCGTTTATCTATCCATCCATTCATCCATCCATTCTCCCATCCATCCATTCATCCATCCATCCATTTATCCATCTATCAATTTATCCATACATCCATCATCCATTCATTTATCCATCCATCTGTCCATCCATCATCCATCCATCCATCCATTTATCCTTCCATTTATCCATCCATCTGTCCATCCATCCATCCATTTATCCATCCATTTATCCATCCATTTATCCATCCATCTGTCCATCCATCATCCATCCATCCATCCATCCAGCCATCCAAACCACTGAACATTGTTTTAATGAAACTTGCAGGAAATAATTATTTGCACTTTTTCATCTGTAGCTTTGGTACAATTCTCACATCACTATTAACATTTGCTCAGCAGTTAGTGCATTTCTCAAAACCATTAGTACAAACTGCAAAACCTACTTTGTAGTTGATAACTTGTAAAGTGTGACACTTTAAAAATAAAACAATAAAAAAGTCAGCTCTTGGTGACACTTCCTGAAACTGCTCAAAGCAGCACTACACACTCTGTACCCAGCCTTTTGATCTACAGTTAAGTTGCTCATTACTGTATTCAGTGAGTTAAAAGAGTGCAAGACACTTAAAATATGTTTTACATTTTCTACGACTTGTGCTCTGATAGTATTAGTATTTGTTCACAGCATTGCACAGAAGCAAAGTACAAACTTATTTACAACTAACACAACAAACACCCTTTAGGTAGAGCTGTGCACGACTGTAAACTTTGCAGTACACAGAAGAACATACAACGTGCACAGTTCTGTAAATCATTTGTGCACATCTAGACGTTCCTGTCTGTCTAGCCACATTTTTTCATCGACATCACAGCGAATATTATCTGGCAATGCAGCAAGGAAAGTATCTGTTCAAGACCTTCTGCAGGTCTCTGTGATGTCATCACACGCTGCATCCATGGAGACTAGCAGGGCCATTGGGTTTGTGGATGCTGGTCCCCATCATGTCCCTGGAAAGAGTGTCTAAAAAGTCAGCAGATGTGTGTTGTATGGACCCAGACAGGGTATATGGATGAGGACAACGTTATCTGAGATGGCTGCACACATTAATACTCTCTCCTCGTTGGCCTGGGACATCACTGGTTTCTCTCTGTCCAATGCGATTTCTCTCACGCCTTTTACCTTTTGCCAGATTGAAACCCGTCTCATCAACGTGTATGAACGTGCACTGCGGTTCCCTGACCTCTAGCTCCAGCTTTATCCCAGAAGAGAGAGAGAGAGAAAAAGTACAAGAACTTTTCCTGTGCAACATAAAGTATTTTGGACAACAGAATGGACTATGTAAGTAACCAGTTTACAGCACTGAACCTTAGATTATTCATAGAACACGTTTTCCTTGTACATGCTCTTTGTACATCTCTCAACTTTATGGCATTGTTTGCACTCACCATGGCACAAAAGGCTTCCTCTTGTTGGAGTAAAACGGGGCCCTCGTCCATTTCCATGAGGTTATTTTGCAATCCTACATGGTGCAGAGTAAAATTACAATAATGTACAGTAAACGTGAGATATACTTCTTTAACCCTGAACAGTACTTTCCATTGTAAAATGCTGCAGTAAAGTACCATACTGTAAATATGACTAATGTTTACTGTAACACACTACAATACAGTAAAGCTGTAAGTCTAAATGTAAAAGTGACCATTAAGCTGCATGTATGACACAGCGACAGCTGTGCAGCTTGTTTAGTGCTGGATTACTGTGCAGCATACACACCTGTTTGTCCAACAAAATGTTAGAATAAATGAATTTACAGAGGTTCTCCCCACATTTGGCCTAACCCTTCGCCTCAGCCATTGTGATGCGGTGATTGACACCATGGTCCAGTTGTGGCCCTGATCTCATCAGTAATCTGCACTTGTCCTTTAGAGCTTTGAGTATCTTGATTAGACATAATGTCACTATATAAGCACAGTACAGTCCTTTTAAATTAGCGCAAAGTTTACAGAAGTAGTTAGATCGAATAAAATACAAAACAAATCCGGGAAACAATAAATAGTGATTGTAGTTCCGGATGCGGCCACGAGGTGGCAGCAGAGCAGCTCTTCTGTCAGGGCTCCACGCAGAGACAAACCTTCAGACTCTCTCCTTGTAGTAAGTTGTCCCTTGGTGTGTGAACATCCACACACTGCACACTCACGCTGGGTTTGAAAGACTCAAACATCCATTTTAATTTATTTTTATGTGTTTTCTGGGCGCCCCTTAACATTTTCCTTCCTTAAAATGTGCCTTTTCTGCCGCATTACTGTCTCCCTGACGTTTATGAAGTGTGGCTCTGAATCAGGGACACTGCAGTGAGAGTGACCCGCTTTTAAGATGCGGTGAGGAAGAGGAGGAGAAGAAGAAGGGGTGCAGACAGAGAGACAGGCAGCCTCACCGAGCTCTGTCGGCTCTGGAGTCCAGTCTGGACCAGACTGACCCACTACCTGCTGGAGTGCCTGCTGCAGGTGAGTAAAGTCCTGTCTGTCTGTCTGTCACGTGCACGTGCATATCTCTCCCATTCAGTCTGCATGTGATTAGGCTGTATCATGTGCATGCAGATGTTCAGGCTGAGGGGGCTTGTTTGTCGTGTGGGATGATTTGAAGGTAAAGTTGGAGAAACATGCAGCTGCAGCTGTCCATGGTGCTAAAAACAAAAGTCCTTCAGATCTACAGGCTGGATGTCTTTCACCTAACCGCCAAAGGCATGTGTGTTAGTCTGTCTGTTAGCAAAATAGCTAATGAACCACCAGATGGATTTTAACAAAACTTTTAGAAACTTACCTTTTATTAACTTTTGAAAACAACCACATTCAATATGTCCACCACAGAGAAACAACCACAGAAGATAAAAAAAATTATTCACACACAGTTAGTTTTATAGATATTGAGCTAAATCTTAGTGTAGTAGTACCTGGGAGTCATCCTTAACGTATACCCTGAGTGCTAACAGATCATAAGACAACTTGCTATGAGATCGCACAGAAGGTTTGACCTTAACAGGACAAATCTGTCCCTTCTCATCCAAACATGATCTTACTTGAGGAACTTTGTTTTGTAGGTTTTATTCTGTCGCTCTCTACCTTTGAACATGTAAAGTCCCTGTACCCTGACGAACGTTTAATGTCTCTGTACCCTGACGAACGTTTAATGTCTCTTTACCCTGACGAGCGTTTAATGTCTCTGTACCCTGACGAGCGTTTAATGTCTCTGTACCCTGACGAGCGTTTAATGT